AATTTTTTAAAATTAAACACTATCTAAAGATTTGCATCGAAGCGTTTTTTTTTTATAGTGATTTTAATCACTGTCAGATATCATTATACTTGATCCAACTATGCCACGTCACCACTGTGCCGCGACCCCCCTGTGCTGGGTTTATATATAATTGATGTCACGCGGAGTGGGGTGAATGCGTTACGACCTCTAGTCTAGACGACGGGATACGCGAGAATAATAACACGTGCCGCGTGGAAAGTTACAAACACACATCACACATACAAGTAAAACTAATATAATAGTGTTAAAAATATTTATACATCAAGTGTCTAGCGGCAAAATATTCAGATCCGAATATTTTAACATGTAGAATATACACAACTATATTATTGTGGGCTATTGTAAGGTATATAATCTTACAATAACCCACAATAATTATTCCTTATATAATTTTAAATTAATTCAACAAAGATATTAATAACCGTTAAACGTTTTTTTTTTAATATGCACTCATTTTTAACAAAAAATTAAATTTAAAATTAAGTAATATTTGTATACAATAAATGTAACACATTATATAATGTAATGAAAGGACAATTTTGATAATAAATTTTAATTAAAATAATTAATTTAAAGAACGGTAATTATTATAATACAAAACTTTTTGAATAAAATTTTAATATTTTATAATAAAATATCAATTAATGTAATTTACCTACTGAAATTGTACATTGGTATTAATTATTATATAAAATCTCTTGTAATTGTAGTATTAAAAGTAGCTGTTGGTGTGGTAATAGCAACTCTTGAGTCGAAAGCGCTTATAATAATGTTAATTGTAAACACAATAAAAGTAAACACAACCGGCAATTGATTAATGAATAATGATGATGACTTGTATTCAATTAAATGAAAACGACAATCTCGCATTAAGTTTAATGTCAAAAATATAAATCCCATAAATACCTTGATTAAAAAGAAAAGAAAAATGATAATAGATTACATAATACAAAAAAGAAAATCGTTGATACAACAGATGTTAATTTACTTTGTTGATTGAATAAAAAATTGTACAAGATTAACTCTTAATACCCATCAGTAGATGTGAAGTACCAATTGATACATTTATGCCCAATCATAATTTTTTATGTAAAAATACCATATGCGGCGTCTAGAAATTTCAGGTTGGGTAGTGAAGATTTTCAAGTGTTACCTTTTCTGCATAACACCCAATTTAATTAAACAAGTATTTATTTCGGCCATTACACTTCTTCTTCTTCCTCGCTTAAATCACAACTACTTTGGGTCGGCCACCCTTATCCTAAATTTCCACTTGACACGATCTCTCACATCCTCTACGCTCACATCAGCTGTCCTCATATCGCATTCAATAACAGCTCTCCATCTCTTTTTTTAATCTTCCTCTACTTCTTCTTCTTTCAACATTAATTTCTATAACTGTTCTTACAGTTTCTGATTCCTCTCTCATCATAACATGACCAAACCATCTAGGTCTATTTTTTCTTATCTTATCCACGATTGACGTTACACCTATACTCCTTTCTATATGCTCATTTCTTATCCTGTCTTCTTTAGTCACTCCACTCATCCATCTAAGCATTCTCATCTCTGCTACACACATTCTCTGCTCTACTTTCTTATCAACCGCCCAACACTCTGAACCATACTTCATAGCTGGCCTCACTGCAGTCCTGTAGAATTTATCTTTCAGACTCATTGGAATTCTTTTATCGCATAAGACACGCCAGACGTTTCTTTCCACATCAACCACCCGCACTTAATTCTGTGTTTTACATCCTCTTCAATACCACCGCTCTTTTGCACAACTGACTCTAAGTACTTAAAACTTTCCACCTCTCCAATCACATCCTCGCCTACTGTCGCTGGTCTCCTTATTTCACCTACCTTGTGTTCTCCTTTATCAAACTCGTACTTTATATACTCTGTCTTACTCCTACTTATTCTTAAACCCTTTTTTTCAACACCTCTAGCCTTTGATTAATTTCCTCCCTATTTTCTCCTATTAACACTATATCGTCAGCAAACAACATGCACCACGGCACCTCTTCTTGTATTTCTCTAGTAATTTCATCTATCACTATAGAGAATAAGTAAGGGCTGAAAGCAGAACCTTGGTGCACTCCTACTCTTACACGAAAACCTTCTATTACTTCTCCTACGCTTTATATTCGGGTACAAGTGCCATCATACATATCTTCTATTATATTAATGTACCTTTTCGGGACTTCTTCTCTCATCAATGCCCACTTAAAAACCTCTCTCGGTACTCTATCATATGCTTTCTCCAAATCTATAAATATCATACACAGCTTTTTCTTCTTTTCCCTAAACTTTTCTATTAGTTGTCTCACACAAAATACTGGCTCCTTTATTGACTTACCAGGCATAAATTCAAACTGGTTTTTAGATACCGATGTCTCATTTCTTATTCTCTTATATATTACATTTTCCTAAATTTTCATACTATGACTCATAAGCTTCATGCCTCAGTAATTTACAGGAGAATGTCACCTTTACCTTTAAATATTGGCACCGCAATACTGTTTCTTCATTCATTTGGAATTTTCCCTTCTAATAAGATCTTATGAAAAAGTTCCTTCAACCACCTTATGCCAACACCACCTAATATTTTCCATACTTCTTCTGGCACTTAATCTGGTCCCACTGCTTTATTCTTTTTCATTGATGCCACAGCCTCTCATATCTCTTTCACTCTAATTAGATCTACTAGTCCCTCATTCCACGAAATATCCTCAAACGTCTCTTTGGGATACTCCTAATTCAGTCATTTTTCAAAATACTCTTTCCATCTTTGTTCACATCATCATCACTCGAGAGTACCCTATTGTCAGTACTTTTTATACACCTTTTATACACACTTGGCTTATTTGCACAAGTGTTTATACTCCATCCAATCTTCTCTCCTTTTGCTCTTCTGTCATACTTTAAATTGCTTTTTCTTACTTTTTATGGTTTTTTGAACGTCCTCATCCCACTTACAGGTTTTCCTGTTTTCTGACATTCTACTCCTACTCTCACCAACAATATTGATCGCGCCGCATGCAAATCGTAGATAGCGCGCGCTTATTGTTTCCGTCTACTCATCTACACTTTCTCTCCCGGTTGTTTGGCGTCATCGGTCGGTCATCAATGCCGGTCGATGAAGAATTTTCACACAAAAAAAGCATTCGGTAACCATTTTCACCGTGAAGATAAAATAAAGAATATTACATTATCTCTAATTTAAGATATATACAAAAGTGTCAGATTTTATGGAGCAGTTTCAAAAGTTAAATTTTCGTGAAAATATTATCATTTTAAATCACCCCTGTGGGCAGGTAAAGAGTCAGATTTATAAAAAAAAAAAAAAAACCCAGCACAATGGGGTCGCGACATAGTGGAGACGTTGCATAGTTGGGTGCAGTATAGATTTAATCTGACAATGATTAAAATCACTATCATAAGAAACGCTTCGATGCAAATCTGTAGATAGTGTTTCATTTAGAGAAATTGGTGGATAATTTCAAAAGCAACATCAACTTCTATTTCCATATTATACCCAGATTAGTAATTCTTTTAATTGTATATTATATAATTTTTAAAATTAATTGTTTTCAAATTATTATTGATTTTAATTTTTAATATGTTAAAAGTAATAATGTTGATCCTACTTTTTATTGTCCTTTAAAGTGAAAGTTTTAATAAAAAAAAAAAATGAATTTATTACCATAACATGTAGCTCAACTTGCAAGTTTGAAATTGACATTATTATATAGAAAAAATGAAATTGTTAAGATTAATATGCAATCAGGGAATTTTATAATTACTATTTACAGTACATTTATCAGAAAAGTTAGATTTTTTTACATTTTTATCGTAATAGATTACTTAAATAAAAATCATAGTAATCATTTCTAATTAACTTTTGGCGTTTAAAAAAATTCTACAATGGAAATATTCAGAATTTAATTAATTTTAATGATTATATATCTAAAAAAAACAATAAAAAAAAAGTTATTCAATTTAGCGTATTATAATAATTGATTATAATTGTAAAAATCCATTGTTAATTCAAGAGAAACTAACAATGAATTTTTTAGAAATGATTTGTATAGCAACATGTTACCAATAAATTTGGAATATTATAGTCTAGTAGTAGCACACACAAATAGAGTAAAAAATTAATAAATTACAAAGTAAAATTATTTATATTTGTACTTTTATCATATCAAATCTAATTCGACAATAAATACTTTAAGAATATTAGAAATTAATGATTTTAATTGTTTGTATGGAAAGAGCTGGTTTAGCTACTTTTTTTTTGAATAAGGAAAATTTTTTCGATTTTTAAGAGTAATAACTTAAACTAAATACGAATTGTAATCATTTGACGTATCGTTGAAATAGTAGGTCTAGCGAGAGTTGGCAAAATAAATCGTAGCCACAAAAAGAACCACATAGTAAAATAATATTAACATGAATATAAAAATCAAAAAACTTTTAATAAGGATATAAATAAGGAAATAGGAGATCATGTAGCTTTTGGAATAATCTACCAATATTTTAAAATTAAACACTATCTAAAGATTTGCATTAAAGTGTTTTTTATGATAGTGATTTTAATTACTGTTAGATATCAATATATACTGATATACTTATAAGTATATACTTGACCCAACTATGCCACGTCACCACTGTGCCGCGACCCTATTGTACTGGGTTTTTATTACTTGATTTATAACAATAAATAATTATATTTTACATTGCTAAATTAATATTTCTTATTTTTAAAATGTAACCATAAATTGACGACCGTATAGTCTGCATTGTGTTGAAATATGTTTTACTCTAATAGTTATACTACACAAGCATAGTGAAGAATTTTGATAAAAAATTAATTATAAAATGGTTGTAAACATAGACTTTCTGTCTACTTTTATCAGTGAGGTTTGTAATAGTACTTTAAAAAAGTAAATTTTCTGAAATATCTAAAAAATATCTAAAATTGGCATATTAAGTTTTGAAAAATAACAGATAAAATTCAAATAATCAAGAAATAAATAAAATATTTCCGTTTCAAAATTGTTTAAATTATACGAAATAGTATAAAATATAAAAGTAAATTAATGTTTTACATATCAAAGTCATTTTTTTTACAAAATAGTCTAAAAGTTATTTGTAAAAAAAAAAAAATTCGAATCAAAATATGATAAAAGTTTGATCTGAAAATAAATGACTACTTAATTCATGTTTTATTTTAACTGGCTTTTTAAATGTTTGTTCTGAATTGATGAAATAGTTTTTATAAAATCAATTATATTAAATGCCATGTAATTTGTGTTTTCTTAAATCTACATCTTCAAATTCCACCAAAATTGACGTTATGTAAGTATTTAATTTTTATTTACTTGTAATAATATTGATGTAGCAATCAACACCAATAATGGTCTATAGAATTCATGTTTGTCTCCCACTTGAATAATATACTTTAATTGGTTAGCATTAGCTGTTAGTAACGCTATGTCTAGCATTCCTTGTGCAATTGTCTTTTTTGTTGCATAGCGATTGACATCTAAAGGTTTTACCTAAAAAATGTAAATCAAAAAATTTTTTAACAAACTAATTATGAATACATAATATGTATCTATATTATAAAGTGATTGATTAACTATGGTTCACGCATTATCTTTAAAAATACAAAACATATTTAATTTTTTTTATTTTCAGAAGTTTAATTAATATACAGTATATTAGTTCTATAATTTAAAAAAAAAAAAAAAAATGGTTCTATACTCTTCTATTTCTTTTAAAGTAGAGTTATCTTAAGTTTTTTTAATAAAAACATATATTTTTCATTAGTTTAAAAATAAGAAAATTATCTTAATAAAAAAATGACTGGTTGATAACTGTACTTTTATACTAGGGCGGGGGTAATTGTGTGGTCTATATACACACAGAGATAAAAATAAACAAACCAGTTTTACTATTACTTTTAAACACAAGCTATAGTAATGACGGCGGCAAGTTATAAGGATCAAAAACAATGAGTTTACCTTCCTCTCGCCATAGGTTAGGTTACACATGGTTTCACCCGTTCTATTCCATTGAATTAATAGGTGTTGTGTTTCAATAAATCAGTTTTCTTTAAGTTCCATTCCCCTCCACTACTATAGACTACGCCCACTTGTGACACTGATGATAGAAAAATATTGGAATTTGAGGCTAGCTTTCTATGGTAAAGAAAAGTGGTAAAGAATGAAGATGTGTTCGTTAATATACCAGACAGGAACTACATAAGACTTAATGTTAATAGACAGCAAAATTGTCACGCCCAACAATACCTAATGTGCTGACAAAAGTTATGATTAAAATTTTTATATTTTGACAAAACGAAATGTGTCAATTGTGTACGTGATAGTGGAAATAATAATTCTGAAAGTCTAATAATAATTGCAACAATTATCAGATTACTTGCAAGAAGTAGTACCATATTTTCTAATGGTACTTTTAGAACTAAATCTACACAGTACATGTAGCTATATAGAGTTCATGATATATACATGTTTTATGATTAGTGTATACTTTGGCAGCTCATAAAACTGAATTTACTTGTAGTATAATTTATCATGAATTAAAAAATGCTGTCGTCATATTTAATTGTAACATTAAATTCAAAATATTCAGTGAGTGATTTTGAGTTTGTTAATATTAATGCTTTAAAAAACGTCATAAATGATGTCGAAATAACAGGTTGTTTGTTTCATTTTCAATAATCATGGTAAAAAATTTTCCATGAAGGACTAAGAGAGCAGAACTAAAATTACAGTAAATCTAGTATAAGAAATAATTTATTAGAATTTATGAGATTACCTTTTTTAAAATTACAATATTTGACTGAAATATTCGATAATTTGGTGGACAAAATCATCGAGAAAGTTGATGAGTTATTAATTATATCAAAGTTACATACATTCAAAGTTGAAAAATGATTTTTGGTCGTGGACTAGCTATACCACCTAAATTTTCAGCAGAAATATAGAGTGTGTATTTAGTGTTAAATAACAAAAAATGGACAAATAACATTGTGGACGAATGCCATTCAAAACTAGGAAAATTATTGGGAACTCACAATGCAAATATTTATTAGTTTTTAGACAATATAAAACATATACAGTGTCGTAACACAATAAAATGAAAGGAAACAGGTGTAAATGTAATTGTGATGTGTAAGAAGATGAAGATGTGGTGCCTACTGTCGAGGTACTCACGTGCGTGTTGTCGTACAGCAGTCACCGTGCTCGGCTGACACTCCGGGTTAGCTGTGGGTGTCGTAAGGCTGTTGTTATAGGAAGGGACTAAGGGTAACACCTAGATATGAGGTGCAGACGAAGTGCAAGACACAAATACTAGGCGTACCAGGTGAGGAAAAATAACAGAGTACGAAGACGAAGTGCAAGACACAAGTACTCTGAAATGTTGTGGAAGAGAGAGATAGGTTTAAAAAGCAATAAACAAAGACTTTACTTTAAGCAGAAAGCCGGACAGCGACAACCGAGTACTGAGGCTGATGAATGACACAAGGCACTGAAGTCGACTGACAACTATGGTCAGGTCTTTTGGGTTTTTATAATAATTAGAACTATTGCCCATTTGGCAATAAATATTATTTGTTAATTCATCAGTCTCAGGAAGCGGATGTGCTGTTTGTATTTTATTAAAATAATTCTCACAATAATGGTAACGTGACACCATCACAACAACAAGACATGAAGAATACTGTTAATCAAATGAGAGATGGCCATATATATTATAGACCACTACCATTCAAAAAAATACATAATAAATCAAAGAAGGGTTGAGCAGATTATAAATATTTACAACTCAATTAATTATATATAAATCTCATAATTATGAGAGTTGTAAAGCAAATAATAAATTTAAGCAATATATGAGAGCTTTTTGTACAATTTATAAATACACAGTAATAAATTGGAGTGAATTATATTAAAAATGTCATTTTGCTATTGTTAATAATAGTGTTTAAAAACTAAAACTTTACTTTTTTCCATAATTTAAATAAAAAGTTTGAATTTAAGTGAATAGTTTTATAATTAAGTTTTCAAAATAATATATGTATAATAAATAAAAAAACAGTTAAATTGTATGAAATTTTTTTTTTTTTTGAAAATACTGCTTATTAAATAATAAGAAAAATTACCTTTTCTTGTTGGTCCTTTAAATAATCTACTGGTGAAACTGCAGAACCAGTATTAATGGGCATTTTTCAAAAATATTTTAATTATTACAGAAATAAATCGTAAGTTTATTAAAACGTCCGATATATTCAATAATTATTTTACGAATATTGAGTTTTACATATCACCAGTATGTAGTTAGGGTACATTATAATAATTCTAGGGTAATGTTTAATCGATAATGACCTCAAGTTGTTATAATTTGAGCGCTTACAGAAATGAAATAATTCAAATTATACAATATGCATAATAGACAACTTGAAATTAACATATCGCTCATTCCTTCCAAAACTCCATATCTCAATGAGATTTTTAATTGTGTCTATTATAAGAACATCTTAAAAGAAGTATATTCCAGTAAAATCGTTTTATCTAAAATTCAATATATAGCCGCTTAAGAACAGATTGAAGTACTCATTTTCAATGTTTAGTTTCCAACCTACGGCCTCCAAAGTACAATTAGCCTGTTCACTGATGAAAAAAATATTTGAAATTAAAAAATATATTTTATATTTTTTGTGCTATTTATTTTTGTTATATTTTTAATGAAAAAATTAAACCATGTAATTCAAAACACAAAGAAAAACTTAATTGATTTATTTTTTTAGGTTTAAATCTCATTTATTTAAACACAGATTATGCAATAATTTTTTTAATTAAATCAAATTTAACACCAAATTATTTAAAAAGAAAGTTAAATTTAATAATTTACATAATCAACATTCTTATAATGAATCAATTTAATATTATTTTTACTGATTAATCTTCACATATAAATTCTAAATATTAAAAAATGATCCAATAAAATGGAAAATTTTTTAAATTTATAAGTAAAAAAGTTGTAACTACTATTAATGATACTTAAGAATAAAAAATAATAATGAAAATTATTTAAATTACTACATTGTATAGAGTAGCAATAATTTTATGAAGAAGGATCCAAATTTGGTAAAATACTCTTTTTCTCAGAAACTATTGTTAATTTTTGTAAAAGAAAAAATATTAGGATCAAAAAACTAACATTAATAAATGAAAAATGTTTTTTTTTTCATTCCTTTATAATTAAAAAACAGTTTTTCCTTAGAATTATTTGATAAACAGTTTATATGTAATGTAAGTGGAGTGCACATATGTGTTGCAACTATATCCATTCCATTCCCAATCTATTTACTTAAAATGCTATAAAATATGAACATTCCAATGAATAAAAAAATTTGTAAGAACAAAATTGTTTGTAATTTGTTTCAATCACATTATCAAGTTAAAAATAGCGATTCCCATTTAACAAAATAAATAGAAAGTTTTTTAACCCTAAAGGAATGAAAAATAAAATTTTGTTCATATTATTGTAGTTTTTTAAATCTAATTTTTGTTCTTTTTACTAATATTTAAAATTAACAATAGTTTCTGGGAAAATGAGTATCTTATCAAATTTAGATCGCCTTGTATATTTCTTATTTTATGATAGAACAAAAATGTAAAGAAATATAAGGAATTTCAATGTATACAATTTACATTATCATAATGCATTTATTATAAGAAATAAAACTACACATAATTATATCATAAAATTTAAACAATGAAGAAAAATGTTTGAAAATTGGTCATTTTATTCAAAAACTTTACTATTAATAAGAACATTAATATGAATGTTGAACTGGACAAGACAGCATTAAATCTGAAAAAATAAATAAAATATGAAATTTCAATATTTTTCTATATTTATATGTATTATTTTTTTAATGAGTTATTGGTTATTAACCAGAATTTAAACCATTTCAGGTTCAATTAATTTTTTGTTTAAAAGACTCAAAATCAATATTTTATTGATAGTTGATTGTAGGATAAACTCATCTCAACCCTAACAAATTTACATAATTTAACATCCTTTAGTGTTGCAAATAGAACTTCAAAACTAAGGTTATAAACAATAAAAAATAATGAGTACATAATAATATACTGAAAGTTTAAAAGGTTTAAAAATAGTTTTGGGTAAGTGGTGTAGTTGGTAATGTAATCATTAACTAAAGATTGATAAAAAGCAATTTATAGACTACATATGGTTTACAGATATAAAATCAGAGATCTGCCAATAATATTTTATTTCTGAATTACCAGTGTACAATGGCCTAATTGTTATGTTTGTTTCTACAATCTCTTGGGTTAACTATTAAATACTGTACTGTATTTTTTATTTACACATGATTTTTGGTATGATTTCCAAAACTGACTGTCATTTTTCAGTGGTTGTCCTCTTTTTATACTTAACAACATAATAATATAAAAAATTATCTACTAATTTCTTTTCAGGCCTTTTATTTTTAAATTAATTTTAATTTTTACCATAAATAAAAAAATAGATTAACTTAAAATTTATTCTATAATATTCATCTGGAATAAACTCAATTTTTTTGTTGAATGGTACATAAAATGAAATACATTGAAAAAAATTAACATTTAACAGTTAAATATTAAGTGACTTACAAAATGTCTAGTTTTTAATGGGTGATCTAGATCTTGATCTATCTTTTTTAGCATTGGTAGCTAAATCATCCCATTCTGACAAATCATATTTTGACAGATCTTCATCGTCATCATCTTCCTCATCGTCATCTTCTTCCTCATCAAAATCATCTTCTTCATTTAATTTAGACCATACTTTCTTTCCATCATTGCCATTGTTTTCTTCTTTTCCATTTTGGCTATTTGAATCTTCACTGATAGAACCACTATATCTATTTTTTTTCTTTTTTTTACGTCCAAATTCATCATATTCATCATCTGATTCATCTCGTTTTACATATTCAACAACACCTCTATCATTATAACCTCCTCCATAACCAGTACGTTCTTCTGGATCAGCAAATTTAGGAGCATTACACATATTACACTGTGAACGTCTCGCCCAATTGACATTTCCACACTTACTACATTGCCAATCATCTGCAGAAAATAATCCTTTACTTTTTTCAGCAGCAGCTTTACCAATTTCTGCTCCAACTTTTTTCTTGATAAGTAAGTCTTCGCGTTCTTTATTGCAACGATTGCAATGAGAACGACGTGCAAAATTAATATTTGCACACTGTGCATTGGGGCAAATCCAATCTCCATCACTCATACGAAAAGCTTTACCAGCTATTGGCTCAACAGGATCAAGACCCGTCTTAGAAGACATCTTGACATTTACTGATCAACAAATTGAATAAATAAAAGGATCTTCCAGTTTTAATGTAAACTGCACATAATTTTTTAGCTACATCTATAGTTATTTAAACAATTAGCAGTATTCAACATTATGCGATTTCTATTTTAAGTTATTAAAATATGCTAACACAAAAATTTTAAATGCTATCAAGAAAGGTATATTTTATAAAACTTAAAAAATCTCCTTATGTTTCTAATTATATTTTAACACTTAAAAACAAAAGTGAAGAATATGAAAAAAAAAAAAATTTAAGTAAATAAAACCTTGCAAACTAGGCAACAATAGTAGTAATTCCCTATAAAAACATTCAATTGATGTTTACAGCTCAAAATATCGACGTCCGATAATAGGTACAATAGTAAGGAATTATTGGTTAATAAAAACTACCGGAGAGGGATATTTTGATAACCAGTGTTGCCAAATATAATTATTTTCAATATAGACCATTTAAAGTTCGTAATGAAATCAAAACAATTTTTTAGGGCTAAAATCTTCAGTAATTGTGATGTGAACGAAGGTTATTACTGTTTAATTGTTAATTATGGCTGTAATTAATGTAATAATAACTGTTTATGATATAGACATACGTACAAATTTGTTTTACAGAACTTAATTTAATTACTTTACTTTAATGATAAAACTTCATAATTACGGATAAATAAAAATAAAAATTACTGAAAAATTCAGAATTTGTTTTCTTTCATTAAACGATCACTATATTACATACTGTAAGTTAAAAAAAAGAAATTTGCCATGACACTTTATCTTCTATATGTAAACCATCAGCCCAGTTCAGATAGTAAAAAATGTTATTTTGTTGTAAAAAATTATCATTTTTCTTGTTGTTATAATTTGTATTTTTTAAATTATTTATGCTTATATTGTAGGTCAAGCAGTATATAGAGAGGGAAGTAATTTTATAAAAAAAATTAGTGTTAGTTATAAATATTTTATAATTTTTAATAATATCAATCCGATAATTATATTAAAATGAAAGGCGCTTACCTTTTCCAAAAAGTATTCTAGCTACCAATAGCTTATGTTAAAATTTAAATTTTACAACTGAAATAATAATTAATTAATGAAGACTAGAATAATCAAATTAAGAAAGTTAACTATTTCCTTTTTTAAACGATCACTTTTCTCTTTCAGGTCGTGTAACTTTATTTTTATTTATTGAATTAATTTTAATGTTAGCATCGATGCGAAGCTAAGGAGGTATTAATTTTACGATGATATCTTTTTAAATTTAACAATAAAATCCTTCCTTTTTATAAACGGATTTTCTATTTAATAAAAAGTCTATTCTTTTGAGTGCATTTGTAATTAGAGTTAAGTTGTATCAAATATATAGATATTCTATATGTTTAGATTTGTGTTTATGCTATAATTTTGAATTTTTTAAAACGTATACATTATTTTAAGAAAATTAAACAGGGTTCCATAATTTTAATCTATAAATTGTTTACGACCGTTTAATAGTAGATTTAACTACCATAAAAATATAGAGTTTTTCATATGAAATACTTTGAGAATACATTTGGAAATTAATTAAACTGTTTACTAACAGTTCCGATTATTATCATGTAAAATGATTACATTTTTCATTTTACTATGGTTATTACGAACTATAGTATTATATATTATCTTTATCTGACAGATAAAGATGATATAAGCTGTGTTTAAATCATCCAAACAAAATGGCAGTACTAATTGCAGCTGTTATATTATCAGTTGCAATGTGCTGGATGACGACTTAAACATCAACAATAACAACAGGCTGTAATATGGCGTGGTCGTCTACTTGCTACTTCTTGATTATATTTAATAGGAAATGCATTTATATATTTTGACTAAATCATAACAGTATTGCAATGAGTATATACAAAAAAGTAGACTTTTATGAGCTGTGCAGGCTTTGCATGTGTGTTGGCGGTAAAAAAAAACATATTTTCAAAAGTCCAGATTGTTGCGAAAAACAATTAACTTTAAAATTAAAGAAATGTATTCCGTTACAGGTAGATATGAATATTTTAATATATTGAATATTTCTTTGTTAGGGATATATAAATATCGTTTAATTTTAATATATGAACAAAAATCTAAATGCTTTTTAATTTATTTGAATAATAACAATAATGTTCAAACATTAATGAAATAGTATGTTTTGTGCAATTTAATTTCAAATAATTGTAACAATTCAATAAAACTATTCTATAGTATAAAAAATAATGTATTATTAATTACAAATATTTTGCCAAACAAAATAGTACTTGAAAGAATATATTAATTATTTAAATATTTACTAAGTTATGTGATATTTTTAGATAAAAGAAAGCGACACATTACCTAAAGGTATATGTGAAAACTGCATTGCTAAGGTAGAAGAATTTTATGATTTTGTTGATCAATGTATTAATACTGAATCAATGTTAAAAAGTTATTGTGCTACATTAAGTGTATCTGATCAACTAAAATGTCAAGGAAAAGTGAGTTTTTTGTTTCAGTTTTATAATTATTAAAATTTGTTTGCATAAATTTACATTGCCAAATTATCATTTTCATATTTGTAAACAGACTTGTATCTATAAAAAATATCTTTATGAGCACTTGCATATGTACTTTGTAGTGTATTACCATATAAAATTCATTGAATATTTTTTTTATTTACAGTGTTATATTATTTTTTCAATGGAAAAAAAATTGTTACTATTTTAGAGTAGTTTTCAACTGTCAAATATTAAAAAAAAAGAATGTGTCTAAATTATACAATTGATAATTAAATCTTGTGACTTTTTCTCCATTTTTATTTTGAAAAAAAAAAATGGGAAGTTTATTTATAAATTGAATAATAAGAATTGATCACTTGTGGCTAATATTATTTAAAATTAAAAACATATATAAAATATTAATTCAAAACTAAACAATTTTAAAAGCTACAAAATTTAATTTAAAAAAATGTGTGTACCTATTTTAGGATAAATATTGCCATTATCACCACACTAAACACATAAACCTTATTTTTGTGACTTTTTGAGTTGAATATCTTCTATATTTTAGTTTTAAATTAATATTTTTATTTTATATAAATTAAATATTGAAAATTATAATATTTGATTATAGTTGTAATTTGTTTATTAAAATTTATCTTTAACGTTTTATTGAACTATTAAATGTTTGATGTTAAAACTTTAAATATTTAATTTTTAACACGCTTATTTTAGTTTCACTTGTATGTGTGATGTGTGTTTGTAACTTTCCATGCGGCACGTTTTATTATTCTTGCGTATACCGTCGTCTAGACTAGACTAGACTAGACGTCATAACACATTCACCCCACCCCGCTCACCAAACACCAGTAACACTAATCTTGTATAATTTTATATTTTTGGTTTTCGTACCCGTACACGCGTGCCTATAATCAATTATATCTATATAAACAAATTTTTATTTTGCCTGACCAATACCACCCGCGTGTAATGCGCCTTACGAAAATATATTTATATAGTCCTACAGCTGCCGCATAAGTCTTGCGTACAACGATCCCCCGTGTCCCGCCCACCCACAAAACACAGCTATACCTCGTGCATGATATGTTTACGTAATTAAGTCGCTTTACATGTATATTCTAATTACTATTAAAATATATGTATTAAGACGCTTTATTCTCATTAAGAAGTATAAAGTGTATTCATTCCGATTACGGGGGATGATTCCCGTATTGTCATTTTTCGTCACTACCTTTCCTTGGATGTGGTCGTCGTTTCTCAGACTCCCTCTCCGGAATCAAACACTGATTTCCCGTTACCCGTTACAACCATGCTATTGATAGCAACTACTAAAAAGTAAAAAATAAGTATAGTTTAAAAAAACTAAAAAAACACGCTTTTAAAGCACATTGAACTAAAAAGTTAAAAATAATTTTTAAAATAAGCTTAAAACAATAATGAACGAGCTTTGTGCCATATTTTTTGTATATTGAGCGCCCGATGCTTTTATCACAATAATACTAATATTTTTCGTTCATTATTGTTTTAACCTTATTTTAAAAATTATTTTTAACTTTTTAGTTCGATGTGCTTTAAAAGCGTGTTCTTTTAGTTTTTTTAAACTATATTTATTACTTGTTGTTTTACATGTTGAAAATGTCTAACAATATAATAGGTATATACTTTAGGTATGTGACATTGTCTACTATTAAACCACTGAAATAAAAATTTTGCTTAAAGCTTATTATGTTCTAAAACAAATTTGTACCATACTTAGGTATACCTAAGATGCCAGAAGTCACAAAAAAATCATAAAATATTAATTAATTAAATTACATAGGGTTTGGATCAGTTTCCTGCATGCAATAATCTATAGGACATATTATTTTAATTTATGGAAACTTAAACTTGCAATAATGTGATGTTACGCAATGCCATAATTATCTTTAAGGGTGCGTAATGTCCTTTTATACAACAACAAATTTCAATCTCTTATAAAGACCTAATGTGAAATTTGAAGTATATTTGGAAAAATCAATTTATATATTTTTTATAATTTAATTATAATATAATAATTATTATTGGAACACATAGCATGAAAATTTGGTATAAGGTAATAGATACCAGAATAAGAACTGAGTCATCGGTATCTAAAAACCAGTTTGGATTTTTACCTGGTAAGTCAATTATGAAGCTATTATATTGTGTGAGGTAACTAATAGAAAAGTTTAGGGAAAAGAAGAAAAAGCTGTGTATGATATTTATAGATTTGGAGAAAGCGTATGATAGAGTACCGAGAGAGATTTTTAAGTGGGCATTAATAAGAAAAAGGTATATTAATATAATAATGGATATATATGTTGGCAATTGTACCAGGGTAAAAAGTGTAGAAGGAGTAACAGAAGGTTTAGGGCAAGAGTAAAAGTGCATTCTACTTTAAGCCCTTACTTATTTTTTATAGTGATGGATGAAATCACTAGAGAGACCATAGTGTAGTTGTTCGCTGACAATATAGTATTAATAGGAGAAAATTGGGAGGAAATTAATCAATGGTTTGATTATGTTATGATGAGAGAGGAATCAGAAGCTTTAAGAACAGTTATAGAAATGAATGTTGAAGGAAGAAGAGGTAGAAGAAAACCAAAAAAGAGATGGAAGGATGTAATTAAATGCGATAT